AGCAGCAGCAGCAGCAGCAGCTACCAAGCAGCAGCAGCACCACCAGCAGCAGCAGCAGCAGCTGCAGCAGCTACCAAGCAGCAGCAGAAGCAGCAGCAGCAGCTAACAAGCAGCACCAGCAGCAGCTACCAAGCAGCAGCAGCTGCTGCTGCTACCAAGCAGCACCACCAGCTACCAAGCAGCAGCAGCAGCTACCAAGCAGCACCAGCAGCTACCAAGCAGCACCACCAGCTACCAAGCGGCAGCAGCAGCTACCAAGCAGCACCACCAGCTACCAAGCAGCACCGCCAGCTACCAACCAGCTACCAAGCAGCAGCAGCAGCTACCAAGCAGCAGCAGCAGCAGCTGCTACCAAGCAGCAGCAGCACCATCAGCAGCAGCAACAACCAAGCAGCAGCAGCAGCAAAGAACAGCAACAGCACGTTGGGAACTGAGAAACGGTCAGGGTGAAGGGTGGAGTTGAACCCGGGGGGGGGTGGTACAGTCCTGATATATCAGGTATGAGCACTCAGGTCCTGGGCTCCCACCCTCCTTGCTAAAGCAAGACAGACTCCAGCTAGCTACAGCTAGCTTTCGTGAATAGTTGTCAAAAATTGTTGAAGGAACCGTGTCAAGGCGAAACGCTCTCTGATCGGGTTCTCTGGAGAAGGTCTAACACCGCAGCCAAACTGTAGTAAGACCTGATGGGCTTGCCTGCTTCTCCAACAGATGGTGGAACTTCAGTCATCAACCAGGCCCTGATACACGGGTATAGCGACAACCCTTCAGAGGCCGAGCAACTCAAAGGTCCATCTTTCAGCTTCTCAACAGCACTGATGCCACTCAAGCGGACGAGATCTTCTTGGGCCACGACAACTTCTTCAAAAAAGCCACCAACGACGACACACCGATTCCATGCTCTTCTTTCACCTTGCTCAAAACGAGGGACACCTCGCTATTCCACAAGCCTGAGACAAGGTAGACATGCATCCAGTCGTAAGATGTCATCAAAACAGGTCCCGGAATTGTTGCCATGAAGTTCTCATCGAAAAGCGCGCCTTCCTCACAATATGTGAACCGCAAAGTCTTTTCAAGCTCCTCGAAAGCGCCCTTCCTCAAGGTGGCCTTATCGGCTTTGAGTTTCCGCGCAAGACACATTGGTCCAGGCTGCAAACAATACTTGGCACCAGCCAGTCAGATGCGTCGTGAGCTGCCACCTCCAGCAAATGGTTGGCGACGTTCTGGCAGAACACGCAAAGTAACAGTTGCGACGAGCCCTCATTCGACCAGCATTGCTTAAGTGCGGCCTCGTCGGCCAAGAGGAGCCCGACCTTGAAGAAGCCAAACTTACAAGGCCCATTCAGGGGCAGGTTCAGTCCAAGCCTTCCGTCAAACGGCGGTTTCATGAACAACTCACAGAAATTTTTGAACTGTTGACTGTACTGTCCAGCAACCTTCTTGATGTGAGAGGCCCGACAAATTGCAATTTCAAACCACAACACG